AATGTTCTCAAGTGAGTGAATAGTAATGAGGCCTACCTTGTTGTCCACGTGAATTCTTGAAGAAATAGACAAGATCTCTAGCTCATTCGAGGGAGATATCCTCTTTGGCTTGTGCATGCCCCATCATGCACTTTCGTATGAGAAATCAATCTCACTTTGATCTTGTCAAACTATGAAGAAACACCGGCTGCCAAACTCGGGTTGAACATCCACCTGGTATGAAACGAAAAAGAATGCAAAAACTTGGGAGAAAAATAGAGCATATGCTTTCAAAGCTTGATGTAAGTAATACCACATCCAACCTTGATTTCACACTCCCGATGGTATTGTGTCGCTTCCTCTAGCAAGATGAGTTTGTCTTCATTTCCTAGACTCTCACCAATGTTGTATCTTAGACACATTGAGAAAAACAAGAGTTTTAGAACGAAACTATTCTTTTTTCCGCTGACCTCAAGTGTAGGATGTGTTAAATCGTGAACACCAAATGCTCAAACATGTCAAACTCAATGTCCTCTTTGCTCTTGTCTTCGTCTGGATCTGGCAGCTGGAAAGACAAAAATCCATTTACCTCCCTGGCAATAGCCACAAGCCATTCCCTTTTAGGGGTAGGATAGGTGTAGTGCACTGTAGGATAAATTTTAGGTACATGCAAAGGAATTTTTTATTTTAAAATAAAGTAGATTTATCAATAGTAGCATCTAAATTGATGTGGCTGATTATATCCAAGAAACAAGGTGGGTTATCTTTCAGGCATCATTATGCACCTTTTAAATTAGAAATTCAAAATGATCTTTGTGAAGTGATCCTAAGAGAATGGCTTTGAAAATGGAAAAGTTGTAAATATTACATTCTCTCAAGAAAGTAAGTGGGTAGTAAATGGCAATAGGGTTTTGATTAGAGATTTTAATGTGGCATATGTTCAAGTTGAGTTAAATCAATAACAAAGCTTCATTGATAATGTAATTGAAGTGACACAAGTTTGCTTTATTCATGTTTTTGTTCACATTATATAACATTCACACTTGTTATTTTTACATTAGCAGGTTGCTGATTGTATTTGGAATCTAATACATGGAGTGGAACAAGAATTTCAAAGGTGGGGTAAAATTAGATATCTTAAAGAATTTGATCTCATCTCACTTGAAGATTGAGGGATATAAACTTGCTATAAAAACCACTTTTTTAGTTGGTAGTGACTTAAGTTCCTCCTTGGTTTCATCAGCCTCTATGAACTAATAACTCATGGATAAAACAATGGAGAAAGTTGCTAAGACTTGCAAAGAGTTAAGCTACAAATTTATTCTTTAGCCAAATTGTTAATTTCAGCAATTTAGAGAGCATAAAAATTCATTGCACAATGTGCAACTATATGGTTTAACTCTTTCTATAATGGGGTAAATACTTTATCATTGTGTTCATTTCAAATTTAATTCATTCTTTAGGCTCTTATACTCACAACATAAAGCAACATTTTGTCTTCAAATGTTATGTCAAAACAATCATGCAAAGCACTATAGATCGCAAAGCAAAGTGAAAAATTAATAATCTGGATGTTGATGGCCGCCCCTGCAAGTTTCTTGTTACTGATCCACAACAGCCAAGTATCACTAAATTCTTTCCAACAACAAGTAAATTTACTTCTTTGATTAGTTTTTTAAAATATAGCAATACAAAATGGAGTAGGGACATTCTCAAGTAGTAAGTGATGAGAATGTTATAAAATCATGTTATAATTTGAATATCTTTTATTTGTGTTGAAATGGTGTCATAATTATTAGGGATATCATTTTCCAACATATATGTATCACAAAAAGCCATTTTTATAAGATAAACCAGGATTGGTTCGCTAAGTTGGAAACTCGACAAATTATGATTTATCTTGGAATAAAAGTTAATATTGAAAGTACTTTTCGTCATAAATCATGCCTTTGAGTTGATTATGAAGGTTTTTCAAATCTAATATGCCTGAAGTGTGCTTTAGTTCCTATGGAAAATGGCTTTAGAATGCAAGTTGCTCACTAAATCAAGTTAAATGATAGAGGTGGTGTTGCTAGAGGTTCAAGAGTGGTTGCATATGCTAATTATCGACTGTATACTTTATCATCAAAAAAGCTTTTTGCTAATGCACGATCAAAGCATCAATTTATAGATAGCTTGAGACTCAAGTTATGAAGCAACACCAGAGAATAACTGTCTTGTCAATGAAAGTTCAAGGTCTTAGTGAGCATTGTTTAGAGGATTTAACTCGCATGGATACTAGAAAATTTTGCAAGGACATTTGTGATGCAACAAGGCATGGCAAATTTGAAAGGAAGACAGGGTTTTAGAATTTTCTCATGGATATATCTAGAAACTTGTCTTGGGTAACAAGTGGACAATGATAGAATACAAGCTCGAAGTAGATTTTTGAGGCTAATTGAATCCATAAAAGAGCACGAATGTATGATTTTATATCCTTAAACTTTGTTGGGCCAAGTACTTTTATGACTAGATGAGATATGAGAATGATGCTTCACTACAATGTTGGAGTGTAGGTATTTTTCTATAGTTTTTTGAAATTTTTATACACAAACTAAGCATTGAGTTTATAATTTTACATATTAGAAATTTTTTGTTAAAGTAAGGGTAAGAGAGGAAGGATACAATAACATTACAGTAGTTTTTGACAATTTCCAACAAGTTCATTATGGTTGTGTGCCTATGATGAACCCGCTATGCTACAATCTGCTAAAGTTAGTTTTTGTTATCCAACTTACTTGCAATAGGTATTTAGAAATCTTAGTTGTGATTATAATAACTTTAATTTTACGGGTTTGATAACATGGATATTTAGCATCAATGGGAGTGAGTACACGATGCTTGGGACAAAAGTTTGCGGCAAGTTCTCGGCCCGATAATTGGCCATGCATCTGATAGTGATTCAAGGCATCAAAAATTAATGCTACAAGACTACACAACTAAAGATGGTGGTTGTTTTAAAATTGATTGGGATGGCTGTGTTTACAACATTACAGAAAGAGGATGGATCTATTTATGGACTACATGATCAAGACTTTATCCACAATGGCAAAAAAACTTGTCAATCCACTAGATTCTTCAAGAAATCTTATCCTTGGGAAGTTATTAACAACACTAAATCATGTTAAAGAGGTCTTTGTTGCTCTTCCAAGACATGAACATAGCTTGAATTAAGATGATGTGGATAGGAAGGACTATCAAAATTGAGCTGCTGCATAGAGACTAGCATTTAAGAAAGTTCAAGCTTGCATATGCATGCTACGGGGTGGTGGATCCCAACCAAGTGAACTTAGTGAAGGAATTAAAGTGTACTTAAGTATTGTGGCAGATTACATTGACATTTTCTTGTCTCTAACTAGAAGGCTGTATCAAAGTTGCTACAAAAACATCTTTCTTCTTCAAGTTTGCTTTGTTTATACTTAGAGATTAATTTCAGTTCTTTTTTGTGTATAGGCTGTGATGACTTTAGATATTGCAAGACAAAGCTTAGAACAACTTCATTTCAAATGAGATTTTTTTGGATATTCAAATTAGTTGCCACTACAATGTTCTTCTTATCAAGTTATTCATAGATAAATATTGAAAACACCACATTCCTCTAGATGAGACAGAATCAAACTGTTGTGAGTCATTTTTCAACAAGATTGATGGTATGGTGAGAAACTAGTGAACTTATGACTCATTTGATTTGTTGGATAGTGCTGGTTCTATAAACCAAATTGTTGAGATAAAGGTTACATCAATTTTAAAGTTTCCAGCTTCACATGAGAAACAAAAATCTATATGGGAATATTTAACAAAGACTTGAGAAGTAACAAGGAGGAATAGTTGCATTGAAGCTGACTGATTATATAGGTATGTCTTTGTTAAATATTTTTTAATCTTACTCTCTTTATCAAGTATAGAAATAGATTTGAAAATTATGCAAGCTCTTCAAGCCGGCTTGCTTGAGGCAAAAGGTTTACTCTGTTTTTTAAGTATATCTCTACCAGATTCCAAGTGGAGCAAACCTTGGAAATATGAAGATTTTTTTCACAAAAAGGTAGCAAAAGCGCTAGAAGCTGTGAATGGAACAGATGATAAGGGAGATGTTCTAGAAGAGGTGGAAAGCAATATCACTTATGATGATGAAGAGCTAGCAGCATCATTGGAATTACAGCATACTTTTGATAGTATGATTGATGAAGAGGCACTGCCTCAACCACAAATGCCACAGCAGGAAAAGTTCAAGCTGTTTGTGGATTGATGGTGGATACGATCTTAAATTTTTCTGTCCTCAGGTTGCTCTGTTGCCAAAAGCTGAAAACTCTCTAGCCGAGGTTGTGAGGGTCGGTATTCATAGCAATGCCGTTTATGGCAAGTTGGAAGATTTCTGGACTTCTTGCGATGCACGCAATGCTGGAAACTGCAGGTATGTGTCGAGACAAAGTTTGTCAAGGCCAACGGTGTCCATTCCAGGCGGATTTTCATGGAGACATTCAAGACAATGTATGGCTTAAACAAAGACCAACTGGAGCTTCCAACGATGTCATCTGGTGTCTGGTCTAGCAAGCATTGCTGGGCTATGTCTACCTCATCTTTTGTGGAGTTCGTCATGTTTTCCTGGTCTATTGCAGTTTGTGGCACATACTCCAACGAAATATCTTCTTAACTGGTTATCTTGTCCTAGGATGTTCGTGGACGCTCTCGATTCTCAGCTCGACGTTGAATATCACGATCATGGAAACTGTCCTCTTGCAACCACTCAACTGGAGGTATGGTACAACCTCGAATTCTTGTGGCTGTGAGTTCTAAATACTAAATATCTTAGGCTCAACACTGCTACTGCCGTTTACTTGAGGTCCTGGTGAACGTTTGGGCGTATCACAGTGCCAGGAGACTCATCTACGTGGATTCTGAGACGGGTATAATGATGGAGCAGAACGCTCTCGAGAGCCGACGCGGGCATGAAAGTCAAGTGGTTCAGCTTTAACGTGCTCAAGGGAATGGACGAAGACATGGCCGAGAAAGTTGACGACGAGCATCCTACGTACCGGTGGCTCTGGCCACACACGGGAGAAGTGTTCTGGCAGGGAATTTTGGAGAGGGAGAGGCAGGAGAGATACAACATGAAGTTGGAAAGGAAGCGCAGGAACAAGGAGAGGCTGGCTAGAATGTGTAGCCGTTACAAGCAGAAGTCTCTGGGCCGCTATGTGAAGTCACCACCGGAAGAGATGGAGCAAGATCAAGCTGTGAATACTGCTGCTCGGTGAACAGATTTTTGGGTGATTGTTTGAGAGCCAGGAGAGCTCTTTCGACGCAAATTGTATACGGCAAGTAAACTTTTTAGTGTACATATTCAGTGTCATTGCTATTAATGAGATTTTCCAGCGTGATTCTTGGAAACTCTAGCTCACTGGACGTTTCCCTCCAAACGACCAAAGTTTTGTCTAGCGCTGAAGAATCCGATCAAAACACGCTTGAGTGAAGAACAGGCAAGAATATAGCTCCAGCAAAACCAGGACAGGGGGAATTGATCTATAATGGGTGCTGTGTTGCTCGCAACTCTGGAGCAGTTCACCATGAACTTGGGAAAGTTTATGTTCCTGTGCGCGACTGTGGTTCTCCTGGGGGGATTCGTGAACGATCTGAAAGTCTGTGACTTCTACTACGTCACTTTCCTGCTCGTTAGCTATGGCATCAGGAGCTTCCGGTTTCTCAACTTAGCCGAAGGCTTAAGGAAACCAAAGGTGAACAGCCGCCTGGTCCTACTCTTCATCGTCCTCTTTGTCCTCATCCCCGTCCTGGTATTCTTCGTGATGGTCGTGCTTCTCTTGCTGCTGCTTCTCAGATTCTTGTATAGTGCTCGCTCCCAGAGCTCATTCGTCATCATCTACAACATGGCCCTGGAGATCGTTCTGGCTCTCGTCAGCCTTGGAACCACGATCCTCTGGCTACCACAGCACCACAAGTATCCAAAGTCCAACGAGTTCGTCGCAATGATCAGCTTCTTCTCGATCGTCATTGCCGAGTCGAGCTTGTTCCTGTGCATCCGCGGCTGCTGGGAGATCATATCAGTGAGGTACAAGCAGGCGAAGAAGAACAGGGACCGACCGAGATTTCTCCTGGAAACTAAGTCCAAGTTCTTCGTTGCCGTGTACGAGACGACGTTGAGAGATGGAGCCATCAAGGGGCTAAGGATGAACTTGGTCGACTACGTCGCGAACGAGTTCTTGGAATCGAGAGGCAACCGGGAGCTGAGGAAGAGCTTGCTGATGCTGGATGCGGTGTGTCACTGGGAAGAAGAAGATCAGAGAAAGCGAAGTGGGAAGCTTCTCTTGGCATCCAAGCGTGAAGTTGTGGAGCGGCTGTTCGAGTGCATGAGCCACAAGTACTATCTCATCTACCGGCGAGCGGCGATTTCTCTAGTGGCCGAGATCTGCGAAGATGAAAACGCCTTCTTCGCTGTGGCACACGTCGTCCAGGCCAGTGATGGAGGCGTCTCGCTTCTGGTGAAAGCGCTGGAGCCGGATACCAACAAGTCGGTGCTGGAGCTGCTAGGAAAGCTTGCGGCATTTGGAGGGATTACCAATGCCGAGCCGGGTGTGATCGCAAACTTTGATTTTTCTCAAGGGGATATGCACAAGAAGTGGAAGGATTCTCTCAGGAATGGAGAATGGATCATCTCCATCGATGCAGGAGATGATCCTGCCAGGGTGCCAGAGATCCAGAGCTCCAAGCAGAAGATCGCAAAGAATTACTCAGAAAGAATCACGACTTGACAAGGTACCTCGCGAATGCTCTCTTTTGTTCCTCCCAGGAGCTCCAGGAGCTAGCTCTAGACGCTCTCGCGGCATTGCTAGCCTATGATCCCAGCGATGGTGATCTTCTCCCTGGCTACAAGAGCGTCATCTGTGGATTGTTCCAGCTCCTCCGTGCCTGCCAAGCTGATCCACTAGGAAGCAAAGTGGCAGTAGTGCTGGATCTTCTCTGCCGCAAGAATCGCCAGTACCTGGAAACGCTGCTCGATGGATGTTATAGCAGTTCTCATGAGCGCGCTCTCCTTTGGTTTGGATCATCACGATGGCGAGAGGAGCAAACATACAATGTCGATTCTGTGCAGCCTCCACGACCAGAAGCTGTTGAGCGTGGAGCAGGAGAAAGCGTGGGACATTGCAAAGATCGTGGACATGGTGAGCTTTGGAGGTCATGACTTGGTGTTTTCACAACTTCAACTCCATAATCCTCAGTAGAATTTGAGGTCACACACTTTAACATTACTGATCTTGTTCTCTCTAGATTCTTCTTTTTTTCTTTCTTAATCTTCCCAATTTAAAATGACATGCTGATAATCTAATAAAATTCACACTGATAATTTTTACTGCTACTGTGAGATTCTACTCCTCATGGCTAGTGCTCTTTTGGCACAATGCCTGGTTTAATTATGCTTCCAATCAGGCCGATCTCGTTATGCATTCCTACCATTTTTGCCAAACAAAGCAAAAAATGTGGTAAATGGCCATGCATACCAATATATATATATGCTTTAAGAAAAAGTCGCATAAAGATTATTTTGTGCATCAATTTTGCAAAGATGGTAGAGAGTATCATACTAGATGCCATCAGCCACTGGATAACCATCTAGTGCAAATATAGTAGTCAATAAAAAGAAGGTGGAAAAACCTTTGGTTGGATGCTATGCCAACAGAAAAAATTATTTGACTAGCACCTGGAACATGGAACATCTTCTTGAGGCATTTATGTGAGCCATTAGGAAGTTTGATGACCAGCCTTCCATGCCCAACAACTGTGAGTGTTCTCATGTACACTGCAGAATATGCATTGAAGCCTCGGAATCCATCAAAAAGGTTTCAGCTTTTGATCCCTAAAATGAGCATCATGAGAAGGGTATTCATGCATGGGTTCTTCTTAGAAACTCTCTTGAGGCAGCGTGATTTTGCCACCGTAAGAACAAGGGTCTTTGTGTTTTTTTGGTAGTGTTGGTGCCAGATTGGGAAGAAGAGTTGTTGCGCCTCCCACCTGTAAACTTGCAAGATCAACAAAGAACACAAGAACAACACTTGTAGCATACTTGCGATGCTTCCGCTATTGCAAGAAAGCCCATTTCTTTTTGTCTCCAGAGGGCTTGCTACTGATATACAGAGCCTGCTCACAAGCAGCATCCCTAGAGACCTTACTGTGTTCCCTCATCTTGCGCTCTTCTTCAACAAAGCCGAGTAAACTGTCTCAAGCGTTTGACCTGGAATGAACAAGAGCATAGACGAGAACTGCTGTAACTCTGGGGCAACAGAGCAAAGGATGAGCGCCTTTGCTTGTTCTTCTGAGACCGGACCTCTTTGAGTTCAGCCATGAGTCCACGGGCTAGGTTGCAGATCCATGTGCATGTTCAGGAACTTCTGGATAAGCATGACTTTGGCATTCTCAACCTTGGCTGAGAAGACAGCGAGTACTTCCCAGTTTGCATGTGCATTTCTTTGCGAAATCGAGCAAGTGCACGTATTTGTCACAGATAGCGCCTTGCAATTGTGACTCTCCCATGCGGGTCGAAGCGCGAGGTCCACAGGTTTAAGCTCTGTTCCCCAGCAATCGAACTCTCATACGCCATATTGCGAAACTTGTTCCCATAAATTTATTAAGCATCTTTTCCCAACCATCCCAGGTTCCAGAATAAGATCCTGGATTTGCAGGAGGTGGGGGAGGAGGAGGAGGAGAGCCATTGTTTAGAGACTAGAGACAAATCATTGCATTTGTTCCCTCCTCTTGTGCTCCTGGATTTGGCGTTCCACTCTCACAAGTATTGCGAGCGCTCACGTCCTCTCTTCTTCATCGGTCGGTATTCTCTTGCACCAGTCCATTGGATTATAGTCAACCTGATACCATTCTCAGTTAACTTCATAAATACCTCGCTATGTGTCTGTTAACGTTTGGCTGAGGTGGATCGCTGATGTGGTGTTCTTGTGTTTTCCCACATTTTGGCGGGCCGTGCCTACGATGTCTTAAGCTGCGCTTCTAATCCTAGTTTTACAATTCTTTATCAACTCTATAAATTGCAAGAATTATAATATCATATCTGTAGGTTCATGCACATTAGAACTACAACCCACTCAAATCTGGACTCGAAACTTGATCTTGGTAAACTTGTTATAACGGACCTTTGTTGCTAAAGCCATTATAGAAGTTTAGAATTTTCCCCAGCTCAACGTTTCCTGAAGGCTTGGCGCAAGGTAACGAAATTGAAGATGAGGTAAAAAGTATACGTAAACAGTTTTCTTTATCTATGCTTAAAAAATTTTACAATGTTCTCAAGTGAGTGAATAGTAGTGAGGCCTACCTTGTTGTCCACGTGAATTCTTGAAGAAATAGACAAGATCTCTAGCTCGTTCGACGGAGATATCCTCTTTGGCTTGTGCATGCCCCATCATGCACTTTCGATACGAGAAATCAATCTCACTTTGATCTTGTCGAACTATGAAGAAACACCGGCTGCCAAACTCGGGATGAACATCCACCTGGTATGAAACGAAAGAGAATGCAAAAACTTGGGGAGAAAAATAGAGCATATGCTTGCAAACCTTGATGTAAGAAATACCACATCCAACCTTGATTTCACGCTCCGGATGGTATGGTATCGCTTCCTCTAGCAAGATGAGCTCGTCTTCATTTCCTAGCCTCTCACCAATGTTGTATCTTAGACACACCAAGAAAAACAAGAGTTTTAGAACAAAACTATTCTTTTTTCCACTGACCTCAAGTGTAGGATGTGTCGAATCGTGAGCACCAAATGCTCAAACATGTCAAACTCAATGTCCTCTTCGCTCCTGTCTTCGTCTGGATCTGGCAGCTGGAAAGACAAACATTTAGAAGGAAAACGATTAAAACTCAAGAAGAACGAGGACACGTAGTTTTCTTACGGGAGGTGGCTCGCTGTAGAGGAGCCTCCTACGCATCTCATCTCGAAAGTTGTCACTGGAAGGATCGGGCACTTGATCTGAGGAGCCTGGCCGAGTATCGGGCTTGTCGGGAAAGTTCTCCAGGAAGCTCAAGATCCTGCTTTGATCCACCTCCTCCTGCTGCTGCTGGTGCTTGCCTTCTGGAACTGGAATCGGCTTTGGCTTGGGGCTGAGCTGTGGAAATCTCTCCTCGTCAAAGAATCCAAAGCTCTCTTGATCCGCGGGGAGGCATCTAGCCGGAGGGAGAAGGAAGAATTGGCGAGTTACACTTCGCTTCTGGGTCCTAGCTCTCCCGCAAAGCCTGGGCTGCGCTTCAATGGCATGGAAGCTCGAGGAGCACGTAAGAACACAATGCTCCATTTCCTGAATTCTATCGATCCCTCGCTAGCTAAGGTGATTTTAGCTTACGCCAGAGCGACCCAAATTCGCTGCTGCATCGCCCACCAGTCCGATCGATGCCGCGGCGCCATTGCCCGTGGAGAATGCGCGAGAGAAGTGAGAGAAAGCCCTAAGTCGAGAGATCGTCTTATCTTTTTGGCGCGCTAATCTAAGCCGTTGGATTGAGACATAGCCCTACTTCCCCTGTTTCTTATCTTTCCATGGCTGCAATCCAGCTCGTCGCGAATCGCGCTCCATGCCCGCCGGCGACGATCGGCACTTCCAGGTTCGTGGGCAGCGAGAGATTCACGAAGAAATCTAGCAGCAGCAGCAGCAATGGAGGATTGGGAGTGCTTCGAATCAAGAAAAGAGTCGCGGCGACGACAGCCATGGCCGGGGAGCTCGCCTCCAATGCAGCATCTGTCTCGAGCAGCGCAATGTCGGATTTCGCAGACATGGTCAGTGCTTAGAACTGATAGAACTCTTTGGATCTGGTTATGAGATCTTCATTCTTGCTCCCAAATCCACAGCAAGAGCGCCGGTTCCGGGATGATATGATGGTCATCATGGATCGCGATGGATTCCCAGCCGAGATCAGGCCCAAGATCGCCGACCTTTGCACGCCGGTGTGGATCTCGCTCCATTTTCTTTGGACGTTCTTCTAGAGGCTGGATTGAATCGCGATGGTTTTCCTTCCAGGTGTTTAGGAGGTACTGCGCGGCTTACAAGGGCACTGTTCCTCCGGAGCCATTCGTAGAGATGAGGCGGTCGCTGGAAGAGGCGGAGATTGAGCGCTACGTCGACGTTTTGTGCGCAGCGATTGGATGGGCGCGGTGGAACATGGCCAAAGATTTCCGGGCCTGGTATGCAACTCTCAAGTAGAGCGTGTGGGATCAAAGTTTTATACGAGAGACTTTTTACTTTCTCCGAGACAAGATGGATCTCTTCTTCGCCCACAGGCCTTAGAGATCCAAAACGAAAATCTAAAGTAAAAGCTGCATTTATCAAGGGCTTGGTAATTGCCATGCCATGGTAAGCGTCTTTCTCCTGATTCCCTCGGCAAATAACCTGCTTATGATACTAGAAAAGAAAATCAAAATCTTTGAAGTAGTTTACTCACCGCTGCACCATGATTTCTGGTTTGCAAAATAAAATGATAATAACAAAATCAAAGTCAGCTAACACAAATACTGCAAATATCCAGACCGGGCAAAATAAATATAAGAGTTTTAGATGGCATTTAAAGGAAGATTTCTTAGAGCGCTGACATAGCAATTGCCATTCTATGGAGCCTTAAGAATTTCGACTCCAACGTATCTGCAAAAGCTCCACGAAAGTTAGATAGACAGTGATCCACTTGAAAACAATATAGAGTACCTTCCAAGCATCATCACTGTTGCTTGAGGATTGGTTCCCGGTGTTGATAAAAACGTAGATCCATCCACGACTCGCAATCCTTTCAATACCTTAACCCGGAAGCTCCAGTCGACCACCTCTCCAAGCGGGCATCCTCCATGGTAGTGGTAATTAGTCGAAACATTCCGCCGGCAAAACTCGCTGATGGTTCTATTCACAGATCCACTCGCAACAAGCGTTGCATTTCTTCGATCCGGGGAAGAGACCGTGCCTCCAGATGGAAGGGACTGATTGCCAAACACCAGCGCCGCCATGGATCGAGAGAGCACCATCTCCTCCAAAGTGTTGACTCCAGCAATGCAGCGTTGTAGATCCACCGGGTTCTGGAAATAGTTGAATTTCACTCGGGGAGTTTCACTCGCGTTTGTGCTCTTGAGGAAGAGCTCGCCTGTTGATAGAGGGCCGTTTACCTCCCCGGCAATAGCCCCCGAGTCTTGACTCAAAACGTATCCTCCAGCGCTAAAGTTTGACGTGCTCACTCCCACCACTTGCTCAATCAGGCTTCCAACAGGAATGCGAGAGCGTAGCAGGATGGTGTTTGTAGGATTATCACCCATCCCCTTCCCTACCATAGGCAGATCCAAGATCACTGGAATTCCTATCTCCTCAAGGTGAGCTTTCGGACCAACACCGCTTAGCATAAGTAGCTGTGGACTTCCCAGAGCACCCGCAGAGATTATAACTTCACTTCTTTTAGAGCTGAGAAGAGCTGTGTGAGAGCGGCCAAGATTGTCAGTGTATAGAACTCCACGACTGCGTCCTCCTGTGAAAAGGATCAAGATCGATCGCAAAGAAACGTTGCTGTCACGAGAACTTACCTTGTAGCAAGACTTTATAGACACTGGCATGGAGCAGCACATCGATGTTCTTGCGATTTGCATAAGCGAGAAGAAGATCCGAAGATGGATGACGCCGTCCGTGGCTATCAAATGTGTTTCCAGTCGTTTTTGTTCCAACAACGTACTTGTAGGTGAAACCAAAATCTGGCGTCACACCGACTTCGAGCAGTGCTCCACGGATGGAATTCTGGAAAGCACTGAAGTTTCTTGGCCTGGATGCCACCACTTTCTCCACCCAAGCGTATGAGCTCTCGACCAAGTTCTTGTCGAGCTTGGCATCGCTGATAAACTCGTCTGGAGCACGATTGTAGACGGCTCCATTGATGCTGCTGCCTCCTCCCAAAACATTTGGCCTGATGCTTGCCACGCCATCCTCGGATGTGAATGCCTGATTGGGAGCCTCCAATCCACCCGGGTTGGCGAAGTTGGTCCCAGAGTTCTCGATCCGCAAGAGCAGCGGATTTCCATACGGGGAGCCGCCTCGCTCGAGAACAAGAACTTTGTAGCGCTGAGATAGGGTTGCAGCGATCGCACAGCCAGCAGTTCCTCCTCCAACAACGATATAGTCATACTTCTGCTTTAGAGTTGTGCTGTTTGCTTCCCTGATAAATGAAACAGTGCCATCATCGTTGGCCTCGATTATCCTGAGCATGCAATAGATCACTACAATGAAGGACACGTAAAACTTCAACATGGCGATCAAGATCACAACAGCAATACAAAACAAGATGATTGTATATCAGGAAATTACGTATATATATATATACATACATAGGAGCGTTGGCCTTTCGCATGACGTTGCTCCAGTACTAGGAAACAGCCATGATGGACTAAAATGTGGCGATTGACTCGAGACTAAGTCTTAGGCGAGATTTGCAAATCTTGTGTATAAAATCATGTTGAAATTTGGAGCACAGACTTGACTGTTTGAGCAAACATTAGGAGCCTGGCCGGACTAGGAAGATTCATCACACTTCTCGCAGAAGTTCAGAAAAATCCGAGCAAAGTTTATAATTCTGTATCAAGTATTCCAAGGATTCCAAAATTCACTGAGATTTCACTAATCAAATCAGTGCTATGGAATTGAAATCATTCTATCCAACTATGTATTTATATGGGGGGGGGGGAGATCCACCAAGATATGTAAAATCTTTGCTACGAGACAAAGGGCAAGGAAGATTTGTGATCCGAGGAGATATGGAAGAAGGACGTGACAGCGAAGTCTTACAGTGATTAATAATGTTTAAAAGTGTTCTTGGAGCGTGTTGAATGTTTCAGTGTGTGAGCTTGAGAGATTTTAGTGTAGCTCATGTTAGATCATACTTTCCACTCTTATTTCTTTCTAGATTCTTGCTGGTGGCAGCAATGATGGTTCCTCCATTTCCACATTAGAAGCAGCAATCCTCATTAGTGGCCTACCCAATTAACCTAATAAACATTATTCTAGGTCGTGGTATTAGTAGAGCTGGATCTTGCGGTATGGTGAGAGCAGCTTCCCACCAGATGGAGGTAACAAAGCCGTTTGTCTTTAGTGGAAAAGACTATAGCCTTTGAAAGCGGCTTATAGAAACGTGGCTGCTTTTCTAGAGCATGTATGGCATTGTGAATCTCTTTGATCCAAAGCCAGTGGTTGGATCTGGGCTGGAAGCCTGGCAAAGGGAGGTGAGGACACTTTCAAAAAAAGAGTGGTCATCAGGATTCACTTGCAATTGGAGGCATGTGTCTTTAAAGATGGAGGTGACATGTTGGAGCACACGGAGTGTCTAAGCTATATGTTCATATAGCTAGCCGCAGAAGGGAAGGAACATGACTTGATGTAAAAGGTTAAACTTTACAAGAATTATAAGAGAGATAATGGGGCTTTTAGTTGATTAGTTGTATCTAGGGTTTGAATTATCCATGATGTTATTTATGAATTACAAGCCCTCAATAAGAATCAACAAGAGATGTAACTGAAGATGTATAACATGATTGCTATGATGTGTGGACATGTTAAATATGGTGTATGTAGTTTTCACTTTATATTTTACAGTGATTTACTATAAAATAACTACGAAGCAAAAATCTCCTTTAGACATATGTGCCAAGGGCAATAGTGTGGGATTTGGCCTATTAATGAACAAAAAGATACTTAAACATATAATTTAGGAAAGAAGGAATAAGAGTATGGAGTATAAATTAAACAATTTTAAAACATCGAACATACCAACACCAAAACTAATATATAAAATGAAGTTAAATTAAATCTAATGCTATTTTAGCATATTGGTGGTTTAACATGTACTATACTAGTTAGCATAGTATGGAATTTGGGCTTATACTTAAGCTAGAAAAAAAACAAAGATAAAGACACCCAATAAAGAACTTAAAAATGCCTAAAGTTGGTAGGACTATATATTTGGAACAAACCCCCTCCTTTAAGCTTTCACCCTAGTTACAAAAGATAACTTGTTAAAAACTTACTGATTATGAATTTGAATGTAGGAATAACATCATCTTGTTTAGAACAATCTCTATATTATATAAAGATGCCTAACAACCAAATTTACACACTTTCTATAAATAATTAATTGGACCAAAATGGGATCAATAAATAATGAATGATAGTGAGAGTGTCTAATAGATATAGTAAACTATCACTTAGCAGATATTAAGGGATTATTCTCAATATGACAAGGGTTCCTAAATGCAAAGTAATAACACAAGTTTCTTATCACTATATCAAGTAAATGATAATTTAAGATTTCCTTCCTTATTGCCCTTTCAATCTAAGTGCACACTTATTAATAATTTCTCAACTAGTTTGAGTGGAGATTGATAAAGGATTTAGCAATATTAGTCTTCCATTGTCATGGTATCAAAAAAAATAGAATATATATATATATATATATATATATATATATATATATATATATATATATATATATATATAAAGATTTGTGAGAGTACTTTTATACTTATAGTCACATTCATGACACACTCCATCCTTTGAGAAGATCGATATTTTTGTTAATGCATATTCTAATTTAAACCACCACCAAGGAAACAACTCTAGAAAAAATTCATAATGTTCACACTTTGTGAGAAATAAAAGTTCACAATGTTTATACTTTATGAGAAATGCATTAACTTAAATGAGTTATAACATAATTCACTAACACTATACTACTTAAGTATGTTAGGCATGGTTGACCAATTTAAGGCATAATCTAACTTCCCATTTGCATGTTTATTCTTGTTTAAAATTCAACTTAAGTTTAAACCTAATCTCTATACCATACTAATTGGTGGAGTATCTACATCCTTATGTTAGGCCATTTCTATGTTAAAATAGTGTACTTCATTTAGCTCTATTTTGCATGTTGGTTTTAGTGTTGGGAGCTAGATACTCTAAGACTATTCCAATATCACTTAATGTTCCTATATTTTTACTCCTTAAATTGTATATTAGGAAGTTGTTTGACTATAAGTTTGGGAGTTTAGCTCTATCCCTTCATTCACCCTGAAATTACCATCACAGAAATTACAAAAGTGAAGCTTAGCTTTGATGTTAATTTTGTTTAATTTCTTTATTAGAATTCATCAATTTTGTTTCTCTAGGATGCAACTAGAGGAGGTTTCTAATCCACTACCTTTGGTCCATCCAAGGGATTATGTTAAAGGGTGAAAATCACATATACAGAATAAGGATAAACATGCAAATAGGGAACTAAATTATACTCTAGGTTGGTTGGTAAGAATATATAGTAATGTAGAAAGCTAAAAGTTATTAAGATAA